TTTTTTTTTTTTTTTTTTTAATTTTAGGGCAGAGTCTACAGGGTGTTCAGGGTCTCACTAGTAGATCAGACTTACACTGATCCCCTTATTTACAGAAAGCAATTGGATGAGGTAGATCATGAACTGGGAGGTAGAAACTTAACAATGAAATCAGTAACATTTTTAATTTTTTTTTTTTTTTTGTGGTTCCAGGAATCAAACTCGGGACCTTGAGCTTGCCAGTCAAGCATTTATTCCACTGAGCTGTCTTCCTGGCCTCTCTCTTGTGATTCTTCCCCCCACCCCCCCAGAACCGGGGATTGAACTGAGGCTCTTGTGCTTGCCAGGCAAGTGCTTAATCTATTGTGCCATCTCCCTGACCCTCTCTTGTGATTCTTTAGCTCATTTTGACAGTATGGTAAAGCTGCTGAGAAGGAATTGGGATGTGTTCCTCTTTTTGTTTTAGGACAGTTTGAGAATGACTAGCAGGAATTCACCTTTATTTTTGGTATTTACCAGCTGTAAATTGAATAGTGCTCCCCCAAAACTCTTGTCCACCCAGAACAGCAGAAAGTTACTTTATTTGAAATAAGGTTGGGCTGGCAAGATTGTTCAACAGACTAAAGCATCTGCTTAGGCAAGCACAGGGACTGAGGTTCTATGCCTTGTACCACATGCCTTGCCAGCCCTGCCCCCGGGGCGTACTGAACTGGCCAGAGTCCAGGCATGGTGGCACACACCTGTAATCCCAGTGCTGGGGCCGGGGAGATGGCTCAGTGGAATAAGCGCTTCCCTGGCAAGCGCAAGGGTCTGAGTTCAATCCCTGCCTCCACAAAAAAAAAAAAAAATATCCCAGTGCTGGAGAGACTGAAAGAAGGAGGATCACCACAAGTCTGAGCTGTGTAATGAGACCCTGCAACAACCAAATACATTAAAAAAAGAAAGAAGGTCTTTCCAGATGTAATGATCACAGTATGGTCATGCCAGTGACTTGTCCTCCTAAAAATAGGAGAGGACAAAGACAGACAAAAGGGCTCATGCGCAGGTGGAGGCAGACGCTGAGTGAGGTATCTAGAGGCAGGCAACACCAGGTGTTGCTGGGAGCCAGCGTAATCCAGGAGGAAGGGTGCATTCTTCCCCTGCGCCGGAAGGGAGCAGCGCCTTGCTGATACCTAGGTGCTTTGGCTAAGTCCTCTGCGCTCTACAAGAGTTAAGGGGATGCATTTCTGCTACTTAAACCACCAGTTTGTGGGAGTTTATTGTAGCGAGCCTAGGAACTACTACAGCTGTGAAACCATTGATCCTGAAGTTGGCTTTGTGGAAAGTTTTTTGATCACGATTCAGTCTTTTTACTTGTTGAGCTATTTGGATTGTTTCTTTTTTTTTTTTTTGGTATTTCAGGGAAGGGTCTACAGGGTGTTTAGGGTCTCACTACTAGTTCGGACTCATAGTGATTCGCCTGTTTACAGCCTCCCACGAGCTGAGATTACAGGCGCCCAGTCTCAGTTGCTGTCTGAGCATGTCCCAGGGGCAGGGCTGGCACGGCAGGGCCAGGGATCGAACCCCTGGCCCCTTTTAATCCACCAAGCTATTTGTTTATTGTAGCGCTCCTAGATTGTTTCTTTTTGAATGTTTGTGTCTTTTTAGGAATTTTTTGGTTCATCTAATTTTTTCATTTACTGTAATTGGTATACAGTTACAGTATTCCATTAGCACAAACACACCTGTGCTGCTGGGGATCGACCCAGGGCTGAGCACGCATTCTACCACTGAGCTGCGCCTCCAGCCCATGACGCTTACCTCTTTCTGCGTCTAATAACAACTTTTGTCTTAAAGTCTATTTTACTATGTGGCATTATTTGTGGCATCCCAGGAAATACTGGAGGTTTTCAAAGCTGCTATGGAAATCTTATTGCTCTGCTTTTCGTTTTAAGATTTTTGGTTAGTCTCTCGTTTGCCCCAAATGCTGTGTAACACTTAAGCAGACTTGAACTTAAAACATTACCAGTCATTTTTTGACAAATGTTGTCTGGGAAAGGGAGTTTTGTATTTGGAGAATTCTGTCAGGTTAAATATGGACAGAGCCTTGCAGCTGGCTTCTTCCAGGGAGCCAGTGGACATGTCAGATATGTTTCTGTGCAACGCAGCTTTGCGAGAGCTCCAGCTCTGTCCCTCCGGCTTCTTCTCGGGCTCATCGGGCTGTGCTGGGAATGTGGCTCTTTCAGAGCCGCCATGGAGCAGGGGGGTATGGGATGTGAGGAGCACAGGTAGGGTGCCACATGGGCTTCAGTCCTTTTCCTTGCCTGTGTGCTCCCTGGTTCAGTGCAAACCTTAGCGTGCAACAGTATTTAACAGTTGTACTGCATGCTGCGCCAGCCTGGGGCATGCTGAATGGGCCACAAATCCAGGCATGGTGGAACATGCCTGTAATCCCAGTGCTGGGGAGGCTGAAAACAGGATCACTACAAGCCCTCTGTGTGGTGAGACCGTGTACCAAATACATAAATTTTATTTTTTTTGTGGCCAGCTCAGCCCACCCTGGGGGTGGGGCTACTGTGCATGTGGTGCCGGGGATCGAACCGCAAACTGCGGTTCCTGCACTTTTGCCTAAGCTTGCTTAAGCAGGCGCTTTCAGGGCCGGGGAGATGGCTCAGTGGAATAAGCGCTTCCCGGGCAAGCACAAGAGCCTGAGTTCAATCCCTGGTTCCGCAAAAAAAAAAAAAAAAAAAAAAAGCAGGTGCTTTAGACCACTGAGCTATCTCACCGGCCCCAGATACATAAATTTAAAAAAAAAAAAAGGATAAAAGTTGATTTTGACAATCTTTCATATAGTACCTCATTGCTTTTATGAAGAGAATTTTTCAGGATCCTCAGGATCCCCGTTTCACTGGCATCATCTGTGCATCACACTAGGATAGTAGGCACTGGGGGCTTGTCCAAGGAGCACGGAGTTGGGTGTGGGGAGGTGGAGACAGCCTAAGCTGACCATTTCTCATGGGAGAAGGCTCCATCGCTCCTGGTCCCCCAGTGTGTGCATGCTCATTGGTGCAGTGTCTGAGGGGTGTGAGGTGGCTCCCTCAGCTTGAGGCTGAGGAACTGGTGTGAAGGGTTGCCAGGTCACCAGTCACAGTGCTGAGAGCCCACCCAAGGTGCAGGAGCCACCCTCTTCCACCGTTTATTCCAGTTACTGGGCTGTCACTCTGGCTGCTGCAGGAAACCATGCTTTCTGCTTTGCATGACTCAGCCCCTCTGGCAGATTTTCTAGAAGAGAAAGCAGATTGAGTGAGAGGTGAATCCTCTGTGCTTTAGATCCAGAAGGTCCTCCAAAAGGCACATGTATTTCCTTTTTTCCCTTTGGTATGAGGGGTTGAACCTGGGACCTTGTGCTTGCGAGGCAGGTGCTCACACCACTGAGCTGTCCCCCAAGCTCCTGGCTTCTATTTCCCGACAACGGATGCCACGCCATTGTCCTCCGCCGGCCCCCCTGTCCTGCTCGCTCTGCCTTGGAGCCACCCAGCCCTAGACTGAACCTTGAAAACCACTGGCCCAAAGGGCTGGCCACATAGCTCAGCAGACTAGAGCGCCTGCTTAGGTAGAGTGCAGCAGCTGGACCCCTGACATGCCAGGCCGGCCCTGCCCCAGGCGCACTGAGATGGCGATTGAGACAGCGTGGTGGGGGCCGGGGAGATGGCTCAGTAGAATAAGCATTTCCTTGGCAAGCGGAAGGGCTTGAGTTCAATCCCCAGTTCCGCAAAAAAAAAAAAAAGAGACAGCGTGGTGGTGCGCACCTGTAATCCCAGCACTTGGGAGGCTGAAAACAGGAGGATCACTAAGAGTCTGATCTGTGTAGTGAGACCCTATAGTCCCAGTACTAACTGCATTATAAATCAGTCAATCAATTAGTCCACTGGTCCAGGTGGGCACGGTGGTGTGCAACTGTAATCCCAGTACTCAGGAGACTGCAGAAGGAGGATTCCTGTGAGTTCGAGACCAGCGTAGGCTACAAAGTGAGTTCAAGGCTAGCCCGAGCTGCATAGCAAGACCCCTGTCTCAAAAAGACAATCAGTGAAGAAAAGGGAAATGAAGGACTGCTCATTCATGCCAGTGCCCTGTCCCAGTTCCCCAAAAGGTTTTTTGCATTTGGATTGAATATGTGGTGTTGTTTTTTGACTGCTGTATTTTAAAATTTTATCTCTTCTTTTTTAACTGGGAATTGAACTCAGGACCTTGCACTTGCCACGTCAGCTGCTGGCTGCTGTTAACCTGACGTCATTGGTTCTTTTCCCCTCCCAAGTCTTCCCCTGGTAATCATCCTGCAGTGCTGCGCTTCCCAGAAGCCGTATGTGCTGAGTCACTGGGTTAAGGAAGCATCCTCTGGAGCTGAGGGAGTGTGCAGGGCAGTGGGTAGTACCAAGATGGGGCCTCATCTTGCTTTCTGCATTGAACCACAGTGTGAGTCAATTCTAAAAGCCCTGAGCAGCTCTGAACCTGGAAAAACCTGTCCTTTTTGACTGTGGCCAAATTACCCTCAAGTATCTGTCATATACAATAGCCTAGACCTAATTGGTGCCCTGGGCAGTAGACACTCAGCTTTCATAACAAGCTGAAGAACGTTTGGGCCCTGCTCCCAGAGAAGCCATCCACTCTCTGTCCGGAGGTTCTGCCCGCCGCCTCCTGGTTACCCCAGGAGATGCACACTGTGGTCCTTGACTTCCTCGTGGCCCTGCTCTCCACCCTTTCCCTGTCACTGCAGGACTCCTGTTGCTCACTGACACAATTGACAGTGGCGCAGTCTCCACCCGAGCTAGCCCTTCGATCCAGTGGTATACCACTGAATAAAGGGAAAATATTCCCAGTTATTCTGTGACATACCACCAGTCCCAAAGTACTTCCTAATTTTAGGTATCAAAAAAGGGAAAAGATCTTAGAGGCTATGAAAGACAGTAGGTTCCTTTGCTACCTAATTTCAAGTGGGAGAGCAAAGTCTAGGCAGACCAGGGATGCCAGGGAGAAAGGGACCTCAGGATGAGCAAGTGTGGAGGTCACTCACGGGTGTAGCAGCCAGCAGGGATGCTGCAAAGAATGTGCTGGAATTGGACTTCTCTAAAGAGTTAGCAGTGCGGGGCTGGTGAGATGGCTCAGTGGTCTAAAGAACCTACTTAGAACAAGCTTAGCAAAGCACAGGGACCATGGTTCAGTCCCCCAGCACCACATGCCAGCCAGCCCCGCCCCCTGGTGGGCTGAGCTGGCCCCACACACACAAACACACATACACACATAAATAAATAAAAATTAAAAAAAAAAAAGCAGCTTAGCTTAGCTATGGTCTGGGGAGAAAGGAGGAATGAGTAATTTTACTAGGAACTGTTTAAGTCCCGTTAATTCATCTAGAAGAGGAGCACCCTCATATATGCGGGGTATGTGGCAACTCAAATGTTTCAAGTTTAGTTTTTAAGAATGAGCTTTTTTTCCCCTGAGAAGTGACTAGTTCTGTAATTAAGCCTACTCAATTTAGTGATAGTTCTTGCAACATGAACTCTTGCAGAAAAATGATAGTCACTCATTTCCTCCATGTGAACATTTTAAAATGAGAGCATTTCTGCTAGACCTGCTGGCAAACACTGTCATCCTAGCCCTTGGGAGGCTGAGGCAGGAGCATGTCCACAAGTTTGAGGCCAGTCTGAGCTACAGAATGAACTCAAGGCCAGCCAGAACTGTACAGCAAGAGCCTGTCTCAGAAGACAAATAAATTTATTAATTAAATGCATTTGCAAAGCTCTTCAAGAGTTAGAGAAGTCCCTCCTGATTTAAATGTCAAATGAGTAGTTTTCTCAAACATACTGACCTTACACAAAAGCTCCATCATTTTTGTGAGTTACTTGTAAATGTAAGAGGCATACTATCCCTGCACAAAGAACATCTGCAGTTTTCCAGGAGTTCTGATTTTTATCAACCTGATACTTAAAGGCATTGGATTCATTTGATTTCCTTAGCCCTCTTCACCCCCTTCCCCAAGGTATGCAGTGCTCCTACAGAGTTGCAGTAAAAGTTGTTAGTGGGTGGCTTTTGTTGTGGGCAGCCTTCCTCAGCTCTTACGTGTAACATCTCCGTATTTATTTTGCAGGCATCATAGCCGCAAATGTTCTTGTATTCTGCTTATGGAGAGTACCTTCTCTACAACGGACGATGATCAGATATTTTACGTCCAATCCAGCCTCAAGTAAGTCACTTCTGATTTAATCACTTCGTGTGGTTTTATTTTGAGGTACAGATAATTTGAAAGAAATATACTTTATGTACATTGAGATGATATTTTAAAAAAATTGGTTAGCTTGTTGATGCAACAAGACAGATCTGGAGGACGGACCGTGAGCTCCTTAAGGAGCAGGACTCGTGACTGTCGTGTCCCGGGTGCCTACTGTGGCCCATACACATACTAGGTGCCTAAGTAGTTTTTAACAAATTCAGGTTTGCAGTTGCTTACAAGGCTGCTGCTTTTGTTTTACAGACAGCATTACATACAACTTTGTAACTGAAATAATTTACTTATGCTGTTTCTAACTGTTGCTGTAAGGATAAGTTACTTGCATTGAGTTGAGAATTTTCATTGGTTGCTTACTAAGTAGAAACAAAGATTTAAGAAAGTTTTTTTTTTTCTTTTTGCGGAACCGGGGATTGAACTCAGACCTTGTGCTTGCCAGGGAAGCACTTATTCCACTGAGCCATCTCCCTGGCCCAAGAAAGCTTTTATCACTTTGAAGAATGCTTTTTTGCCAGGGAGATAGCTCGCAGTGTAAGCACCTGCCTGGCAAGTGCAGGGTCCCGCGTTCAGTCCCCATTACTGCAGAGTTTATTTATTTATTAGTCTTTGTTTGAGACAAGGTTTCACTATGCGGTTCAGGCTGGCCTTGAACGCGCAGTGACCCTCCTGCCTCGGCCCCGCCAGTGCAGGGAGCATGCTCTCTTCAGCCTTCTCATGTAACATGCTGCTCCTGCTTGCTGCGTGTCACTTCATCATGAGAAAAGCGTGCCGGCCGTGCAGGGCTCACCCTGTCCTCTGCCCCGCAGGGGTCCTCTGTGCTCCGATGCTGCTGTCGCCATTCAGTCACCTCTCCCTGCTCCACATGGCGGCAAACATGTATGTCCTGTGGAGCTTCGCCTCCAGCGTCGTGAGTCTCCTGGGGCGGGAGCAGTTCATGGCCGTGTACCTGTCTGCAGGTAAGAGCCTCCAGCACAGGACCTGGGGACCTCAGAGGCTCCTAGCTATGCACAGCCTGGACAGAGCGGTGGCCGTGGCGCACTGTGTGCACAGGAAGCGCCGAGGGTGCAGGTCTCTCATCATGTGTAGCGTAGGCTTCCCTGGACCTGGCGCTGTCAACCCCCCACTCGTGTGGCAGATTGCCCTTTCAATGAACGACTTGGAGGTGCTTAGTTTTAAATTAGGGTTAGAGTAAAACCTCAGCATGTCATTTTTGTCTCACTGAGCCTTGATTTCTCAGCTCAGGCCTCCATTTTATAATTGAACGGCCGCTAGACCTCCAGCTGTCTCAGTCAGCTGGGACTGTGTGAAACCCCCGTAAGCACATTTCTCTTGGAGTTGGGCTTGCAGAAAGCTTTAGAGCGTGGCACCTAAAGAATGTTGAAAATAGTAAAATGTGTCTGTCGAGAGTAAGTGTCAGGGCCAGCCAAGTAGCTCAGCAGATTAAAGTGCCTGCTTAGGCAGATGCAGCGGCCAGGGTTCGATCCCCAGCATGCTGTCCCTGCCCCCGTGGCATGCTGAGACAGCATTTGAGACTGAGTGTGGAGTCACGCAGCTGTAATCCTAGCTCGTGGGAGGCTGAACACAGGCGGATCACTACGAGTCCGAACTAGGTCGTGAGGCCCTGTAGACCCTTACTAAAAATACAAAAAAAAAAAGTCAAGTGTCAAGGTAGCACATTGGCTCAGCGCTGCGCCCTAGTCAGGGTCCTCTTCCATTCACCTAGGAAATGTAGTGCAGTATACGCATCCAGGTTGCTGCTCCTGTGAGATGAATAATTGCTCTGATTTTACTGACCTCACTTGTAAAATTTATTTAAATACAACAAAAGTTCATTTCTTCGGCCAGGGATGTAGTTCAGCAGCACAACTCCTGCTTAGCAAGTGTGAGGCCCAGAGTTCAATCCCTGGTACCAAAAAAGAAAATAGTAAAATGAATTCATTTCTGAGGTCCTACTAGGCTTAAGAACTGTATCGGACAGTTGCGCTGTAGGGCAAAGTCACTGAGCTTAGGGACAGCTAGGTTCAGATCCGTCTTGTTTCCTAGCTGTGTGGTGGTGTACAAATCATTGCACCTTTCTGGGGATGATGATACTTCTCATGGCAAGGACTTGAGGACGATTGCATGAGCTACAAGGCCCCAAGTTAGTGCTTAATGAGTGTCAGTTGGATATTCATGTGTACTTATCCTCACCAAAGCTGAGGGTTGGGCACACAGCTAGGTGGTCTAAGCTCCTGCCTGGCAAGCAGAAGGACCTGGGTGTGATCCCCGGTACCACATGCCATGCTGGCCCCGGAACCCCGGGCGCACCATGCTGGCCACCTGAGTGGTGGTGTGTGCCTGTAATCCCAGCACTGAGACAAGAGGATCACTGCTAGTCTGAGCTACATAGCGAGACCCTGTACCAAATAAATAAAAGATTAAAAAAGAAAAAAAAGTAAAGCTAAGCAGTCTCTTTGGCCTCTTAATATATAGTTATTCCCCCAAGTACTACTTGTATCACTGCAGGTAAGTGGTCTGTTTCAGATGCTGTTAATTCCTGTTGCACAAGAAGTTATTTTCTAAAATGAGCCACACTTAAGTGAAATAATGTTGAAGCCTCAGGAACCTAACACACCACCTAGGTGAGGGTCTAGCCCAGAGGTTCAGATGTGCCCGCTCTCGACTCCAGCCCAGAGGATTTGGCTTGGGAGCCAGCTCCCTTTTCTGTTTAAATGAGGAAGATGACTACGGTGCGGTGAATGGCCCTGTGTCAGTCAGTAGAGAGCGTGGTGGGTGAGGCTTTTGTTCCAGGTACACTGGTGATTGTGACAGGGACAGCAACCATGCAGTACTCTAGGGAAACCTCACACACTGCTGTGGAGATCAGGAATAGGATCTGTTTTTTTGTTTTTGTTTTGAGACAGGATCTCACTGTTGTAGTCCAGGCTGGCCTTGAATTCACTGTGTAGCCCGGGCTGGCGTCCTGAGTGCCGGAATCACAGGCATGCACACCACAGCCAGCTAGGAGTAGGAATCATTTTTATATCTTACTTCAATTGTTGAATATGACTTATTTCTCAGGTGTTATTTCCAATTTTGTCAGTTACGTGTGTAAAGTTGCCACGGGAAGATATGGACCGTCACTTGGTGCAGTAAGTATTTGTAATTTTAAATTCATTTTGAAACAATGTGATTTGAGCAAGTTGCAGAATTATAATTTTCCAGTGTTTTTTATTGCAGTGTTAACTAACACCATACAGAATCATAGAATAATTACCAAAATCAGGAAATTAACACAAATATTATTGAAGGAGCTACATCTCATTTTGAATTTATTCATTGCTAAAACTCATTTTCAGGCTATAGCATTTAACCATTGAACATTTATGTGTACTGACTGGTATGCGTTCAAGCCAAGAGGAATAGGACGGAGTAGTCCACGTCTAACCCCGTAAGCCAGCACCTGGCCCAGCACCGGGAGACTCCAGCTGCGGTTGGAGCCTGTGCCACCCTCCCATGGGTCCGTGCTGGAGGCCCAGGGCAGTGAGAGCCAGGGGGCCCCCGCCTTTCCTCAGGCACACTGTGTGTGAGTGGTAGACAGCGTGGTGTCGGGGAGTCCATGCCCATGTAAGAGTTAATGCATTTAAGTGTATTTGAAGAGGAGAAGCGCTCTAAAGAGGTTCAATTCTGGAAAAGAATGAAATAATCCCATAGTTGGTACGTTCTTCAGATTTGTATATACTTCATTTTCCTAGTGAGGCCTACCTACATCTTCTCTTCTGACTGATGTGCTTCCCTAATCTCCCCCCAAGCTTTGTAAGTTTTGACTCTGGTATGATTTTTGTGTTTCAAATCTTATCTGCTCTCTTGTTGAGCACCTGAGCACCTTATATAGAGGCAATGAAGTTCACTAGGGCGACCTGGAAGTGGATGTGGGCTTCAGGTTTAGTTTAGCTAGGTGGAAAACACACCTCTGCCACTCCCTGAAAGGCCTAGGGTGCCAAGGGAAAGGAGACTAGTAGAAAGGACCTGGGGGCATTGGTACTGTCCTCTCCGTATGAAAACTGCAGCCCAGACTTCGGTGCACAGCAGCACGTGAACCCGGGACTTCAGGATAGCTCTGGCTGTCTGAGCCCATTTCTCCACATGAAATGTTCCAGATGATTCCAGAGAATTGGGAATCCATGGGAAAGTACTGTAGAGGGATTTCACACAATTCAAATGTTCTTCCAGATCAACTCAGTAAATTATATTTATTTCAGTTTGAAAGAAATTTTAATCTTGTTGAGTTTTTTTCTTCTAGAAAGTAAGGTTTCAGGGACTGGGGAGATAGCTCAGTACAATATGCATTTGCCTGGCAAGCGCAAGGGCCTGAGTTCAATCCCTGGTTCCACTAAAAAAAAAAAAAAAGAAAGAAAGAAAAGAAAAAAGAAAGTAAGGTTTCAACTTGATTGCTTCTAGAATTTGAGTTAGACTTTTTTTTAGAGTGTTTAAAAATAAACCTAGGATATTAAAGTTGCCCATATGCCCTGAAGCCTGAGGCTGTTGTCCAGCCTTGCTTCCAAATTTGTGTTGACACTGCCATCTATGTCGCCTCAGATAGTGCAGCATGAGCAGGTCGATCTGGGGGCAGACATTGACTACACCAGGACAGATCTTACGGAGTAGATGCCAACGTGGCCAGTAGAGTGTGTTGTCCCCAGGGGCACCAGGACCTGACAAGCTTCATGGAAAATAAGCAAACCACCTTCTGAGTTGGCTTTTTTTTTAATTTATTTATTTTTTAATTTTATTTGTGTGTGTGTGTGTGTGTGTGTGTGTGTGTGTGTGTGGCCAGCTCAGCCCACCAGGGGGCGGGGCTGGCTGGCTGGCATGTGGTGCTGGGGGATTGAACCACTGTCCCTGTGCTTTGCTAAACTTGTTCTAAGTAGGTGCTTTAGATCACTGAGCCATCTCACCAGCCCCTGAGTTGACTTTGACAGCCGTGGAAGTTGCTATGGCCCCTTGAAAGGTGGGCAGCGAGCTTCGGGAGCAGTGATTACGCATGGAGGGGAGTCAGGATTTCAGAGAACCCTGCTGCCGCCGTGTGGAAGCCAGCTTCCACACAGTAGCTGTTGACCTAAACACAGTGTGCAGGCTCCCCACCACATCCAGCCTGTCCCTGGGAGTGTGTGGCTCACGTGCTTGGGAATATTTTCTCAAGCTGGGCACTTAGTCCACTAACCTAAAGTCACCCTGGAGCCTGTTTAGAGGACGCTCTGCATGCTTCCATCCTACAGTTATCCCACCTCATTCCTCTTTGCCACTTGAGCTGGTTTCTCTGTTTTGGCCAGCAGCCAACTGTGTATTTACAGACTGGGGACATCTGAGCTGTCTAGAATTCATAATTATTAAAGGTCTTAGTAATTCCTGTAGTGTAAAATAATCGTGTATTCTGATGCAAACCTTTCACATAGACAAAACAGTTGAGCTGGACACAGTGCGCACACCTGTATCCCAGTATCTGGCAGGCTGAGACAGGAGGATTGTAAATTTTAGCCCAGCCTGCCTGACTTAACAAGACCCAGCCTCAAAATTATAAAAAGAAGCAGGGTGTGGTGGTGCATGTCTTCAGTGCAAGCACTCATGAGGCCGAGGCAGGAGGATTGCTGTGAGTTCGAGACCAGCCTGGGCTTTAAAGTGAGGTCAAGGCCAGCCTGAACTTACATTACAGTGAGATTCTTTCTCAAAAAAGACAGACAATAGCAAAATATATATGAAGAACTGGGGATGTAGCTCAGTGCAAAGCCCTTTGTTCAGTTCCCAACAGGAAGAAAAGTTGATTGAAAGGAGCAAATGGTGTTTTTTAGAAATAACATTTTAATATGAAAATGTAGGACGTTTCATTATAAGGGCTCTGTTGTTACTGTGCTGGGGTTTAAACCCAGGGCCTTTTACCCTGAACTGCATCCCAGCACCCGCCCCACCCCCATTTTGAGACTGGTTCTCACTAAATTGCCCAGGCTGTGCCTGCACCTGGAGTCATCCTGCTTCAGCCTCCTTCCTGGAAGCACCATGATGCCTAAGGCTCCTTTTAAAGTGATGGTTTTTTGTTTTGTTTGTTTTTTGTTTTGTGGCCAGCTCAGCCCGCCCTGGGGGCAGGGCTGGCTCATCATGTGGTACCTGGAATCAAACTGTGGTCGCTGAGCTTGCTTATACTTGCCTAAGTAGGTGCTTTAGACCACTGAGCTATCTCGCCTGCCCATTTTTTAAAGTTTTTTTTTTAAGAGCTTTTTAAAAAATTGTTTTTGTCTTTAACATACGACTTAATAAATAAAGTTTACAGCACCGGATGTGATGATACATGCCTATAATACCAACATGGGGGAGGCTGAGGCGAGAGGATTGCTGAGTTTGAGGCCAGCCTGGACTATACAGTGAGGTCAAGGCCATCCTGAACTGCGTAGGAAGGCCCTGTGCTCAAAAAACAGTTGCAGAAAATACTTTAAAGAAGTAATCCAGGGTTTTGAGGTATTGACAAAAGGGCACATAATCGAATGTTATAATTTGTTAAGTCCTGACAGTAGTTTCCCCTAAAGCCATGGCACCTTCCAGATCATAAACGTGTTCGTTATCCCCAGAAGTTTCCTGGTTTTCTTGCAGTGTCGTCCTCCTGAACACCTGCCCCCTGACTGACTTGCTTGCTGCGAAGATGCATGGGTTTGCAAACACTGGGCAGTGCGCCTCACTCCTGTCACTGTCCTGAGGCTCCTCCCTCCGCGCTGTGATCAGACATCGCCAGTGGCTTGACTGCAGTGAGGGGGTGGCAGTGTGGGGCCAGCCTGGCGTTGCAGTGAGATTGCGTCTCATGCCCTCTGCGTCTCTTCCTGAACATTGGTGAATGCATCTCTATTCTACAGGTAGACGCTAGTCACTTGTTGAACACTTAGGTGGTTTCTGGTTTTTTGGCCACTATTAAAACCCTCCTGTGAACATCATGGGCAGCTCTCCGCAGACACATGCTTTCGTTTCTCTTGGTTTAATGCCTATGAGGGAAACAGGGCATAGACTGGCTGCATTTAATTTCTAAGGACCAGCAGACTCTTCCAGAGTGGTCATTCATAGCATTGTGTCGCATGTTCCCTTGGCAGCGCATGAGAGTTTGGGTTCTCAGGCTTTTCCCCATACACGGTGTGGTCAGCCCTTTCAGTGTCTAGCAGCATCTAGCATAGTACTGGTAGAAGAGCGGTTGGATTTTCATTTTCCTGTTGACTGATGGCGTTCCTCATCTTACGTGCCTCTTCTCTGTATATCATCTTTGAAGGGTCTCCTTAGATATGTCCATTAAAAAAAGTTTTTATTGAGTTGAGTTTTCTTAACAGTGTCTCACAAAGAGTAAGTTTTTCATTTTATGTTGTCTTGATTAATTATGGGTCATGTGTTTAGTGTCAGGAAGTTTTGTCTAAACAAAAATTACAAAGATTTTTCTCCTGTGTTTTCTTCTCTGAGTTTTCATTTTAGGTCCGTTTAGGTCTGTTTCACTTAAAAGTAGACTCCAGGGCCAGGGATGCAACTCCCTGGGGCGGTACAGTGCAGGTGTGGCAAGCGCGAGGCCAGGAGTTTGCTTCCTGGTACCAAAAAAATCCTGTAAAATATTCACCGATTTTAAGCATTTTGCCACATCTCATTTATTTGCTGTCTGTGCTTGCTTTTCGGAGTCGGTTGCCAGAGGTTGCTGATGTTATTATGCCCTTTTACTCCTGCATGCTTGCGCATGTGTCCTAAGAACACAGATATCCTGAGATATAGTATAGTTATCAAGTGCTGTAGTAAATTTGATTGATAAATATTGATAAGTGTAACTCTTAGTTTAATCTCCAGCCCATCCTGCTGTCCTGTCAGTGTCCCAGTACTGCCCCTCAGGGTTCCTTTTCCACCAGATCTGGGGTGGAGTTAACTCCATCTCTGGGCCCTGAAAATCTGGAGCATTGCCACCGCCGCTCTGCTTTCATGCCAGCAGCACTTGGGGCCGCACAGGCCAGCTGTGTTGAATGTCCACTTGGGCTTGTCTGTTTCCTTGTGGCTGGTCCAAGCTTGGTACTGGGTGGGACTGGTGGATGTTGTTGATAGCACAGGGAGAAGAACTTCGTGTCTGTTTGCCCCTTTCTTTGGGGGCTAATTTTGGTGAATAATTATAGTGTTGTCCAGCTTCTCTCTTGTACATCATTTTCTCTTTTTACAATTAATATAGGGCTGGGGAGATAGCTTGACGGTCTAAGTGCCTGCCTGGCAAGTGCAAAGACCTGAGTTTGATCCCCGGTTCTGCATGCCGTGCCAGCTCTGGAACCTCGCGTGGTGGTGTATGCCTGTAATCCCAGCACTGGAGAGGCTGAGACAGGAGGATCACTATGAGTCTGAAGTGTGTAGTGGGACCTTGTGTGCAATAAATTAAAAAATAATACAATTAATACATTATGAGAAGATACTTTGAGCTCATGTAAGCATCACATCCCTCGCCCTCCCTCTCCCAGGAGGCTGCTGTGGCTTCCAGTGCGCGGACCCTAACGTGGGCCTCTTCCATAGCCACAGCTGTCACTTAACTACAGAGCACACTGGGGCTGCCCTGGTTTTTCTTTTACTTCCTTTTCTCTTCCACGGTGCTACACTGCACTTAATTGTCCTACCTTTTCAGTCTCCAGTCTATGACAATTTCTGTCTTTTCCTGTCCTTAGATACTTCAGAAGAATATTGGGAGCATATTTTGTAAAATGTCCTCCTAGGGAATTGTATTATTATTATTTTTTAATTATTTATTTATTTATTTATTTATTTGTGTGTGGCCAGCTCAGCCCACCAGGGGGCGGGGCTGGCTGGCATGTGGTGCTGGGGGATCGAACTGCGGTCCCTGTGCTTTGCTAAGCTTGTTCTAAGTAGGTGCTTTAGACCACTGAGCCATCTCACTAGCCCCCTGTATTATTTTTTAATAGAGAATTCAGGTTTGTCTTCTGCTCTAAACTTGTTTCCCCAGCTCCACACTCCGGCACTCCCATGGCTTTGGGTTTCTGTCAGCCTCGACACTGTCTTACCTGGCCACCATGTGTCACCCCTTTGTGCAGTTTGATGTCACTTGTTACTCTGAGCATATATGTTTCTCTCTCTCTCTCTCTCTCTCTCTCTCTCTCTCTCTCTCTCTCTCTCCGTGCGATGCTTCCCACGGGGACTGTCACCATTATTTTGCTTATTTGGTGTCTTTCCTGCCCCTCTGAGAGCTCCAGGAAGTTGAGGCTTCCTCATGTCTGTGTCCTCACATCTAGTAGAGTGTTCACTATGGAGCAGGACACGGTGACGGCCCTGAGATGGAGTGTGAACTGGGAGTAATAAGCGACCCTTTACGTGTTACACCATCTGGAGGAAGTTGGAAGCGTAGTTTCTTTTCAGTTTTTTGAAACAGTGGCCCAGGCTGGCCTCAATTTATGATGAGCCTCCTGCCTCAGCCTCCCAAATGGTGGTATTACAGGTGTGCACCCATATGCCCAGATCCATGTCTAATGCAGAGAGATCAAATTAGTCCTCTGTCCAGAAGGTACCTCATGGACAGTACTGATTTAAATGAACAAAATTATGTGGGCAACCAGGAAAGAGCATGTGAGAGCTAAACTAGTTACTACATAGGGAAGGGGTTGAGCTGTGGGCTCAGACCATGCCGAGGTGGCTGGGGCTGGCGCCCTCTGCAGATAACCCGTCCTGGGGGTGCCGAGAGGGGACCCCGACCGAGCCACAGGATGAGGAGGGTATCTTTTCCTGCACCCTGGCTCTCACCCCAGGCTTTAAGGAAACTTCTGTCTCAGTGAAGTCACATCCTAAGTGACGTTTAGGGCCTGTTATTAGACTTGGAGGAAATGCCACGCGTGTAGGCAAATTCCTGCTCACAAGGAGAATGCCTGTGACCTGCTCTGCACTGCCCTTGCCGCGGGCCCGTGTCCTTTGGGGCTGATGGGGCCCTGGGAGCTGGGCCTCTCCAGGCACCCGGGGAGAGCACTGCCACCTTGGTCCGGCCCTCACCCTCCGTCCCTTGCAGTCTGGCGCCATCATGACCGTGCTGGCAGCTGTGTGCACAAAGGTTCCGGACGGGAGGCTCGCCATCATCTTCCTGCCCATGCTCACCTTCACGGCGGGCAGCGTGAGTACTGGAGCTCGGGTCTGGTCGCGCAGTAGCAGGGAGGCAGTGCCCTGGTATGGAGCGACTGCAGGGCGTGCCACTCTGTTTTCTGTCCCTGCCTGCAGGCCCTGAAAGCCATCATTGCCTTGGACACAGCAGGGGTGATCCTGGGCTGGAAGTTCTTTGACCACGCAGCACATCTTGGGGGTGCCCTCTTTGGAATGTGAGTTCCTGGATGGATGGCTGAGGGTTTCCCTGGGAGAGGGAGGACAGCATGAGATGACTGATCTCTGTTCCCCAGCTACCAAAAGGGCAGAGACCAAACCCCAGTCTGTGCACCCCTCCGTCCCCTTTCCCCTGCTACCTGGCCAGCTGTGTCACAGAGCCACACAGGTGAGAGTCCAGGCCGAGGCTGCTGACCATGCCCGGCGTGGGTGCTCACTGGGAAGCTGACCCAGGTGCGACCTTTGCACCAGGCAGCTCTGACGTAGTAGAGCAGCAGGACCCGGGGCTGCAGCCATCTCACTGTGGGCCCCCACACTGAATACCCCGCCTAGCCTCGGCCTGGCGCAGCAGCGCCCATTGAGCAGTACCTTGGAGCCCGCCTCAGCTGCAGCACCTGGCACGGTTGCTGTCTGGTGGTCCCCCCCGCCAAAACGCTGCCACTTGCCCTTTGTTTTTACTTTGTTTCATGATAGTGGAAAACTTTTAATTTAAAAAAAGGTAGAAAAACTATCTCAGTGAAGCTGATTTGTCCCGTAGGTGGAATTAAATGCCATTATGCTGTTTATAATTTTCAGCGGTGATCACAGAAGAGCCTGTAGAGCTCCAGCAGTAAGGGCAGCAGGGTATAAATAGAAAATGCGGACCTGCAACTGCTGTGAGAAGCAAAGACTTTCAAAGGGGGTTGCTTCCTGAGCTCTAAATTTATCCGAGCTTTCCATGTATTTGTAAAATTAGGGCTTATCCCCCGCAGTCTTTTATTTTCCTGAACTGTAATTAGATGGCTTTTTCCATCCTGCAAATAAATTAGATCAAATACATTCTAAAGTTCAAGATCTAAAAGACAGGAATCCTTTTTTGTTCTAATTTCAGCTCCTTTTCATCCATTACACCTGTAATATTCAGAATTCATTTTTTTTTTTTTTTCTTTAGTACAAGAAATCAAACTTAGGGCTTTGCACTCGCCAGGCAGATGCTTTGCAGAATTCATCTTTTCTTGAAATGAATTTAGCAATTCTAGGAAGCTAGTCTCTTTAATTTGTTTGGTTTTGGTACTGGATTGAACCCAGGGCCTTTGTATTGAGCTCCAGCCCTGGCCCTTTTTTAAATTTGCGATTAGGTCCTGCTGAGTTGCCCAGGGAGGGCTTGAGTTTGGCAGCTCCACCTCAGCCTGCTGGGCTGCTGGAGTGCAGGCAGGTGCTGCGCATGGAGTCCTGCTTTCTGTTGTAACAGCCCTGACTGTGCTGATGGCAAAGATGCCACCAGTGTCAGTGCTCTCGTTTTCCTGCCTGTGACCCTGAGCAGATCCTGCAGTCCCCACTTGGCAGTTGTAGCGGTAACAGCAGACACACACCAACAACTCGCCGGGCCTGAGCACTGTACTGTTACCCTCGGTTGTGTGAGGTCAGGGCGAGCTCAGGCCTCATAGCACCTGGGAGTACCCAGTTACACTGGTGAAGCAGCTTCCTGACTGGGGTGGTTGTGCAGCATCCCCTGGAGGATTGCAGCCAAGTGAGGCCGGGCAGGGCCTGAGAGGCTCAGGGCCTGGGCACCAAGGGCCCTAGCCCCGCCACCTGAGGCACTGCTGGCTGCAGTCAGCCACTGTCTGGTTACAATGGGTTTGTGAGAGATCTGCAGTACGCCTGTGAGGTTATGGTATGGGGCTGTGCCTGACAAGGAACTCACAGATTTTGGAAGTGTCTTTGTTAGTAAAGAGCTGTCAACAGGTGATTGTTTTTTGATTTTGACACAAGGTCCTGCTATGTAGTCCAGGCTGGCCTTGAATCACAGGAACCTTCCTGCCTCTGCCTCCCAAGTGCTGGGATTACAGGTGTGTGCCACCACACCTGGCAGGTGATTTATTACTTGTGCATTTTTACAATTGCATTTAAATGCTGGAGGATATTTTTTTCTGTTGTTCTAAATTTACTAGAGAATATTATCTTAGGCCCAAAGAAAGAATTTGCCATGCCTAATAATTCAGGGGGGTTTTCCCCATCCCCTAGTACCAATTTACATTTTCAGCTCTTTTATTTTTGTTGTTGTTTTGTGACAAGATTTTGTTAAATTACCTGTACCGTGTTCAAATTTTCAGTCTTTGTGCCTCAGCCTCCTAAGTGCTAGGATTACAGAATGAGCTGCCATATCCAGCTTGGTTTCCATATTTTTAAGTGTTTTCTTTCTGTAAATTTATGGGTTATTTTAAAAAGTTTTAATGCTAACTATGTTCCATCACATTTTAATTAGTTAATACAAAGATTCTGATACAAATCCAATCCCTTATGTAAAAAATAAATGTTCTCAACATTTTAAGCATGTTTATACTACTGTTCTGAGTGAGCCACTTTTTCAGGCAGGAGAGGAAGCAACCAGCACAGTCTAGACCCTGCCTCGGAGCCAGCAAGCACAACAGAGGCTTCGAGAAAGCCAGCTGTCCCTCACTGCTGACCTGGCCCAGCAGCCTTCCCTGGGCAGGTCCCGGTGGGAGCCCCCTACACCCCCTGCTCAGAGTGCCGGCTTCTGCTGTGAGCAGGAGCAAGTTTCTCCCACTCTGAGCTTTGCTGCCAGGGCTCACAGCTGGGCTGGCTTCACAGGAAGATGGAAGCCAGGTGGGCTAGTGTGCCTGAAATCCCAGCAGTCTGGGAGGCTGAGGCAGGAGGACCCAAGTTCAAGCCTAGCCTGGAAGGCTTCATGAGACCCAAAATTTATAAAACAGAGCTGGGTCTGTAGTGCGTTGTGAAGGCCCTGGGTTCAGTCCCTCGTATCAAAAACAAAAATAGGAAGGGGTTTCTGTCAGGGCAGGTGAGGTTTGGATGAACAGACCAAGCTCAGAAGGGGGTGGGGGTGGGGCAGAGGCATGGAAATCACTAGCACCATGTCGGTCACTTCCCTTGGGACTCTGTGACATTTGTCGTGGTGAGAGCTGGGGCTATGTGCCCCACTGCCTTGGGGTCTGATCTTGATGGACTCTGAAAAGTCCTTAGTGCCCTGGGCAGTGACTTGGGCCGAGGCAGTGATGCTTACTGCAGCTCCCACCCTTACTCTAGATAGCTCAGTGTTCCTGGTTCAAGACAGGGTCTCGCCGTGCAGCCCGGGCTTGAACTTGGAGCCGTCCTGCCTTGGCCTCCTGAGTGCTGGAATCATGGGTGTGTTCCTTCATGCTGTTTACTGACATTAGATAGTCAGCAGCTGAAGACTCAGGGGAAGGACAGCAGCACCAGTGCCACCCTGCAGCCTCATCATTTGGGCCTTCCGCTGTCTCTGCAGATGGTATGTCACCTATGGCCATGAGCTCATCTGGAAGAACAGGGAGCCGCTGGTGAAGCTCTGGCACGAGATGCGGACCAGCGGCCCCAAGAAAGGAGGTGGCGCCGAGTGAAACAGCGTGACTGCCTTGGTCCCACCCCGGTGCACGAACTCTGCTGCCGCCAGAGCACTTGGCCCTGGAAGGCCCCCTGCTTACCACGCCAAGATTGTCCCTGCCTTTGTCAGAAGGCGGCTGGCAGAGCTGTGGAATAAAGGTCCCACCCTCAGCTCAGAACCTGTGTGCAAGTCTGGTGGCCAGGAGCGGGTGGGTGCGCAGTGAAGGCACCTAGTGGGCTGGGGTCAGCTTGGCTTCTGTGCGGGGGCAGCCGGGCGGGGTCTGCTCGGTTGGCACCCCACTAGGCCCTCCTGAGTGCAGCCTGCACTGGCAGCTCAGCACTTCCTCGCTCTTCCCCGGGGAGATGCAGTCCTCCCCCAGTGAGTGGTGCAGGTGAAGCCGTTGTAGGTTTTGGCTTTCTAGGTGAAGAGTGGAACTGAGAGATGGAGGTGACTTGGATAAATCCAGACCTCAAGCAGCCTCGCTGTATCCCAGGTTTAGAGCTGCACGTCTTGTGGAAATAGTAGGCCGTGACCACAGCTATGACCGAAGGCTTACGGTTGGGCACCTGGTTGCTTGGGAGCATTTCCAGGGCCCTTAGTCTGGGGTGGCCTTGCATGGGGAGGAGCAGGGCACAGACCTCAGTCTGTATGGCAGACCAGCCCCCTCTGTGAGATGCAGTGGCTGTCCCCACCAGAGAGGTGGCTGAGCACTGGGCCACGGCAGCCTGGACCAGCCTCTGCACGACACACTGCCATTGACCCTGTAACAAATGCGGCAGGTATTTTCCAGAGGTACAGTGAAGAGCTGAGGTCACAGGTTTGTCTTGCCATGGACTAGGCCTGGAGAGGGGCCCTGGAGGGTTCTGCCCAAGCTCAGTGACAGGGAAAGGAGGATTTGGTCTCCCTGGGAGTGTGCTGGGCTGGAGGAACTCTGGCTGTGCCCTTCAGGGTTCTGGGGCCTCCATGGCGCCATTTCTCTGCTGGCCTCATTCCCTGCTCCTGTGGGCCACTCGGGGGCCTCTGCAGTGGCGGTGACACTTCATCCTCTCTGTCCTCACCTGGGAGCCACGTCAACCCTTGTGACCCTCCGAGGGCCGCTCTGCCACCCCGCTGAGCCCAGTGCCCTGCGCTGCCCTGGCCTTGCTGGCAGCTGCTGGTGGCTTTGCTGCCCACCCTGGGAGTGACTTCCAGAGCAGCGTTCCAGGACTAGTAGCTGGGGGCGGAGTGTGGCCTAGCATGTGCGATGCCCGGCCTGCAGGAACCCATGAGGGGCAGCTGCTGTATGCTAAGGGGAGTATTTTAGTCACTGAGCTCCATCTGTCAGGTGGAGAAGCCAGGTTGTGTGTGGGGGGGGTCCTCCATTTGCACCCCACCACTGGCTCGGGTAGTTGGTGTTAGGAAGCGTGAGCTCTGCTCCCGCTAAACAGGACCTGGGTTAGGGGCACGGGTTCACAGTGCCTGGGGCTCTTCCATACTGACCACCGGGCCCTGGGCTGCGTGGCTGGCAGCTCTTGGTCACTGAGCCTCCTGGGGAAGACGGCGGCGCTCCGGAGATGAGCTGGCCCTGGCCAGCGCGGTCCTGTTCAGTGTGAGGGCAGGCTGGGTGCTGTCCAAGCACCGCGCAGCGGTAACGAGCTCTGCTTCTGCGGTCTGATTAGCGCAGGGCTCGCAGGGCCACGTGCGATGCAGCGCCTGTCACAGCTTTTTGAGGGGGACCACGAAGTCCTTTCTGATACCCTGTCCGTGGCCACCGATCTTGGCCTGGAAGACGACCCAGAGTTAGCTCTGCATTCAGAAAGCCACATCTTTACAGAGGAAGGCAGGGCCTCGTTTTGTGTCCTTACGGAGCTCAGGACTTCGCAGCCTTGTTTGAAAATTAGAGCTCTGGGCACCCCGAGAACCGCCCCTCGGGCTAATGCCGGTAAGACAGGAGCTTCACAGCTGACTGGCCTGGAGAGAAGGGCGGCTCCAGTCTGGTTCCGACGCATTCTCCCAGGGACCTCACAACCCTCTCGGCTGCGTGGCCCCGCAACTCGGCTGCCACCGGGATCCGCACATAGGGTGCTCCCAGCCTGATGCTTGCTTGCAGCCGCGGATTCCTGGCGCCCTCTGGGGTCCCCACCCTCGGGCAGCGCGGGCGGTGCAGGCGGCGCGGGGCGGGGCAGCCTCGAGCTCGCGCGCAGGCAGCGGAGTCGCCGCCGCCATGGCGTGGCCCTGCATCAGCCGCTTGTGCTGCCTGGCGCGGCGCTGGAACCAGCTGGACCGCTCCGACGTGGCGGTGCCGCTCACCCTGCACGGCTACGCGGAGCTCGAGCTCGAGCGCGAGGAGTCGAGCCCGGGCGGCGCCACCCCAGGCAGGAGCGCGCACCCCACGGGTGCCCGGGACGCCGGCAGGGCCGTGCCGCTCACTCAATATCAGTGCGATTTCGGGGTGTGCGCGGCGCCCCGAGATGCGGCACCGGGACCGAGTGGCCGCAGGGCCAAGTCCTCAGCGCCCCTTGCGCGGGGTGTCTACGTGCTGCCCGTCGGCGATGCGGACGCGGCTGCTGCGGCCACCACGTCGTACAGGTACCGGCTGGGGCGGTGGGAAGACGGGCTGGGGGGGATCATGAGGGGGCGCCTGGAGTGGGGATCTCAGACTCCACTGATGAGCGCGGGGGTCCCTTCCGCAGCCCCCTACTCAGGCCAAGAGCTGACACCTGCGCTCGCTGGGCTGCTCTGCTCGCCAGCAGCCTGCAAAAAAGCCTGCCTCTGACCAAGTTGTAGTTGGCTTCCCTTTAACTTTCCTGCGGGGCCAGGCTGGGATGCCCACAGGCCAGCTCCGAGCTCCTGCCCCATGCCCGGTCCCCAGGACTGATTCTCAGGGGCAGCTTCACACCCGCACCCCAGGCTGCCCAGGCTGTGCTGCCTCTAATGACAAGTGACTTATTTGTACTCATGTAGAGCAGTTGTAACATAACACCACCCAAAACAATTTTAACGTGCACTTTGGTGTATATGCACTAACATGGAGCTCCATGGATTTTTTTTTTTTTTTTTTAAACTGGGGATTGAACTCAGACCCTTGCGCTTGCCAGGCAAGCGCTTATTCTACTGAGCCATCTCCCCGGTCGTGGATTGGTTCTTATTGGACACATTTTTCTCACCTAACTGTGGATTGGACCATGTTACTAGATGTACTCCTGCAGCACTGATTGTAATAAATGTGCACTGACTGCTGTCCTGCAGGTACAGTCATCTGCCTGTGTGTGCTAACACGGGCTGCTCAGAGTACTTAGGACCTGACAGGGGCAGGTTTCTCAATACTACTAAGAATTTCCCTTGAGATTCCCGGAAGGTGGGGTGAGAACTCAGGCTCAGGTGCCTGTAGACATGTCCTGACAGTGGGGCTTGCTGTGGAAAGGGACACCGAAGCCCTCTCACCTGGTGGTGTAGATTTCAGATGCACACCTATCCAGGGGAACCCTGTGCACAGGTTCCCTCATGTGCGCCAGGGTGCACCTCCACGCACTCATGCCTCAAGCTGAGCTGCTGAGACCCCAATGGTACTGATGGTGCTGGGCAGACACGGGTGGGGTTCAGGCGCTTGCTGGGGATGAGGATGGTGTGAGGACCAGGGGGACCTGAGCCAGCTTCCTGGAATGTGAGCACGGGGAAGGCAGAGGCCCTGGGTGTGGCGCTGAGGTTCTAGGCACTGGCACTGGGAGAGGAGGCCCCAGGCCAGAAAGAAGCCCTTCCCAGTCACCAGTGCCATCCTCGGGCAGCAGCCGTCCCAGGTGGCTGGCACACCACCCAGGGTGGTAGGCATGTCGTACCTGGTCCTGCCTCTGCAAAGGTAGCCCGCACTCTCTGCCCTGGCATGGGCAGGCCCTGAGTTCCACATTTCCTGTGGACGAGTTCCCTGAGGCCTCTTAGTTATTGCTGTCCCCACTCTTCTGATGAGGATCTGAGCAGCTGCTGCAGGGTCACGTGGCTCTGAACACAAAGGAGTGGAACACAAGTCTCTTGCCTCCAAGACAAAATGTATAGGTTCTCAACTCTGCTGACTCAGAATCAGTGTTTTTTTTTTTTTTTTTTTTCCCTAGTACTGGGGATCGAACTCATGGCTTTCACACTGAGCTACATCCCTAGCCTTTTAAAAATTGTGCAGTGGGGGGGGGGAGTTGTCTCAGTGGTATAAGTACCTGCCTGGCAAGCACAAGGTCTTGAGTTCAATCCCAGGTGCCACAAAATAAAACAAGAATTTTGCAGTAGGGATTCGCTAAGTCAATAAATTGCACAAATGGAGCCCAAACTTGCAACCCTCCTGCCTCAGCCTCCCAAGGTACACAATCTATTTATTGAACTGAGTCCTGAAACCAGTAGTGCACAGGGACTGATAGATGGGAGTAGGGACTTAGTAGAGTGTGCACTTCCTGGTTTGCAAGCTGACCTCAGGCCCTGTCCTCTGGGGCCCCACAGCCGGGCAGACCCAGGCTTACTGCTACGTGGCTCCAGCACTGCAGCAGACTGAGATGTGTCCCTCCCACTCCATCCTTCCACACATCTTGAAACCCGCCTAGCACCTAGGCCAGCGGTGGCGGTGGTGGTGAGCCCAGGGCGTGAGCTGCAGTGGACTGTATCACTGAAGGCTCCCAAAGGGTCGCCATCACTGAGTTAGTCTGCCTGCTAAAGCATCAGCAAGAAGTGAACAGAGCCAGGGGCTCTAACGATGCACAGCAAGGTGTGGCCAGTCAGAGTCCTTGAGTGCCAGGGACCCTCAGTTCTGACCTCTGCCCCAGCAGGTCCTGTCTTGCCTGCCTTCTTGGGCCAGTTGGGCACAGGGCATCCTGCCTGCAGCCAGCCTCATCCCTCCAGCTGGCCAGCTGCTTGTGATCCTCCCATCCTGGTCTGCTCAGCACCTTTGGCTCAGGGTCCAGCCAAGGCCCCAAGAGCGGCAGTGCTGGAACGTGCTTGGAGCTGGGCAAGGGCTGGCACCAGCGGCAGCCCTGTCATCTTGGCTTAAGCCATAGCTGCTTTCCTCCTCTACTGGGCATTACCAGGCCTGCCAATTCGACCTCTCCTGTCCCTTCTCTGTCCCCCCTCTGCTTGGGCTTGTCCCACAGCAGCCCTGGGGCATCTCCAGCCCTGCCTCAGGGCAGTGGGCTGCTCTTGAGCTAGAGAGGCTGTCTGGAGACAGAAGGGCACGCCCTGGGGGACCTGCTTCCCCAGAGAAACAGTGGCAGATGGCCACGCAGTGGCTCCTCAGAACCCTGTGGGGATGAGCTGCTGGGGCCTGGCCCAGCCCGTCTCCTGGCACTGGGCCTCCCAGTGCTGCCCACGGACAGACACGAACCCCCCTCCCCCCGCCACAGCGCCTGCCTGCGGGGGCCCCAGCTGTGTACTGCCAGTGACAAAGGCGCCTTTGTGAGCTGCAGGGCCTGAAACTGGGCTGGGCTGTAGGAGGGGTGAAGGTGCCCAAGCACCTGTAGGCACTGCCCCCGTGGGCGGACCCAACCCTGCTTACCAAGGCTTCCATGCTGAGGGGGACCCTAGCCAGGGCCTGTGGTTTCACAGGGCTGTCTGCATCCCTGAGCTCACCTTTAGGCAGGGACACTAACAACGGAGAGGGCTGGCTTGCTTAGGGGGAATGATCTCACTGAGACGCTGTGGGGTCAGTGAGCCAGGCTGTACCAGCCTCAGAGTCCCCCTCACAGGCCACTATCCCTGCACAACCAGCAAGGAAGCCCGCAGATCCGCTCCCCATGGTGCCCACGCCATGCAGCCTTGAGTTTTCCTACCAGAGCCACCAGGATGCACTCCAAGTGCTTCAGTGAGATCAGTGAAAAGCCACTGAATGCCGGGCCTTACCCTCTCACTGCTGTGCCGGGCACAGGGCTTGCTGGTACCCCCCCATGGACCCCAAGGCCATGCTGGGGGTGACTGGCCAGGCGGCCCCCAGCAGCCCAGCATCCATGAGAGCAGCCGCAGACTCGCGTTAAGGACAAGGCCTGGCACACACCAGCTGCTGCATTTTCTGCAGAGACCCTCACTCTGAGCCCGCTGCTCACCTGCAACCTCTGAGTCTCCCTCCTTCGTTCAGGGCCAGCCTTGTGTGGCACCCTCAGAGGTGAAGAGGGGGCAGCTATAGGCTCCCTGCCACCCTGCTGCTGACCACAGGCCAGGCTCATTGTGTCCTCTGTTCCAGGCAGGAGTTCCAGGCGTGGACTGGAGTGAAGCCCTCAAGAGCCACCAAGGTGAAGCCAGCCAGAGTCACCACGACCCACAGCTCGGGGTGGGATGCCAGCCGGGGGCCTGGGTTCCAGGTGAGCCAGAAGTGCGGCTGCAGGCCTGTGGGGGTGTTGTGAGCCAGATTTAGCAGTGTAAAGGGCAGCACAGCCAAGGACAGCAGGGCCACGTAGGTCATCCCTAAGTACCCTGCCACGTGGGTGCCCTCTAGTGTTGACTTCTCTGGTGAGCAGGTGACGGGCGCTGCACTGGCCCGGGGTCTGCAAGGCACCCCAGCACCACCCTGCCAGCCTTTGAGCACATAAGCCAGCCCTGAGGGAGGGAGGTGCCAGGGAGGTCTCCAACTCTGAGCCACCCAGGTTCACCAGCCGAGGTGGCCTCCTGCAGCAGGACACCACTCAGGGCAGTTAGCAGCCTTCATTCCTGCAGGGTGCAAGTTCTCCATACTGGCCCTGGTATGTGCAGCCCCAATTTCTTTTGCAGGTCTCCGAGGTGAGGAACTTTACACCTAACCCCTCAGCCATCTTCCAGGCTTCTGCTCCCCGGATTCTCAACGTGTGACACCTGGGGAGGCTGAGTGGCTGTGGGGAGCGGCTCTGCCAGGGCTGCAGGCCTGGGGTGCAACAGAGTTGGGGGGGTGCTGGAAAAATGACACCCCAGCTCTGCCAGCCTCCAGCAGCCTTTTCAGGGGGGTTTAACCTTCACACTGGCACCTGGCTGGACTTCAGGGAGCCTGAGGGTCAGTTCACCGGGCTGAGAAATATGGACCCAGGATGCATGATTTTCATTAATCTTATAACCCACGGTAATGCCAGGTTCCAAAGTGGCCTGCATGTCTGTTGTAGAACTAAGGTCATCACCTGCATGTGACTCATGGTGATGCTGAGGAACAAGGAAGAGCTTCTGAATCGCGACAAACCCGGGGCTCCAGCTTGCAGGGGTTTCTCCCTAGCCACGATGACCTCATTTCAACACTCTTCTCGGGATGAATGCGGTACCGAGGGAAGGATGCTTACCCTGCAGCGCTTCTACAGCCCAGCCTGGTTTATTAGGTTTCCCTTTGGCCTCACACGGGAATAAATGCAAAGGAATAAAAACTCGTGCCCACGCAGGGAGCACTTCCGGGATGGTAGCCTCCGCCCCACGCCCTTGAAGGCCTTCAGACAGCACCTGCCCCAGCCCCCGGCGCTGCAGAGGCCGGGCCTCCTCTCCCCTGGAGCTGCCCCTGCCGGACCCCACAGGGAGCCAGGTCCCCCCGCCCCAGCACCTTCCACGCCTCAAGGGGCCTGACCCTTGTAGAAGTGAGAAGCAGAGCTCAGGGTCTGGGGAAGGAAACTTAGGGATTTCTGTGGTTCCTCCTCCCTCTAGGCCCTGGGGGTGGCATGAAGGTTTCAGACGCCCCAAATTCGCTTTGGGGGTGGGGCTTGTGTGTGCACAAAGGTGCTCCACTACCGCTCCCTCTGAGCTGTCCCAGGGGCTAGAGCTGCCGGGTGGGCCTTCCGCTGAGTACAGATTTAACGGTACAATCTTACTCTACTAAAATGCAAACATGCACTGTTTCAATTTCTCCTTTACCTTATAAACGGTTTATAGACCAAGTCTTCTCGCATTTTCTTTCATCTCATCTTTTAATGACTGTAATGCCACATGGCTACTGCCAGTGTCCTTGGAGGTTTGGTAACCCTGACCCCCTTCTCAAAGCAGGCTGCAGGTGACAAGGACACTGTAGGTGGCACGTCACAAAACCCATCACCACCCTGTCAGCCCGTGCAGGGGCGCGGGGGAAACAGCTCAAACATGGCCTCCCCCATCACTAGCTGGGCATAGGGGCGCTTCTGTTCCACGCGTGGCCCCCCTCTGGAGCTGTCCAGTGCTCAACGCCCTCCCTGGCAATGCTCCCTTTCAACCCTGAGCCAAAAGCCCCACCCCTCCTGCTTCTTTTGCCAAAGGACGCTCGGGCTCTGCTCCCACCCTAAGGGCCTAACCTGCATCAGTCACCCGGCCAGCACCTTTCTGCAGTGTTGCCATGTCCCCGTGAAGTTATACAGAGCTAGGGAGCGAGCCCAGCGCTCTCATGCCAGGGAGCAAGCCCAGAGGCCATGGGCCTCTTTGGTAGCCTGCGAGCTGCAGAGCGGAGATGCGCTGGCCTGGGACAGCTGGACTACGAGCTGGAGGGGCCCTGGTAGCTTTGCATGTTTTATTATTCTTGCTAACATCATTCCAAATGGAGGCCACCTCAACAAGCAGCAGGTAGGATGAGGTCCTTCCCCAAGTGGGGGGAGAGGGGCTCAAAGTGGCCTTACGTTCACCTCTGTGCTGCAGAACGCCGAGCCTGAGGCAAGCTCTATCACAGAGTTGCTCTGAGACGCACAGCAGGCCGCGTGGGCGGAGCTGCCCTGCCAGAGGCCTCTGTTGGCCAGGCACGGGGTGCTCTGCAGCTCCAGGGCGAGCCCGGGAAGACCGCAACCCTCTGCGTCCTGCAGCCCACCTGGCCTTCTCCAAGAACCAAGCCTGCCTGGCCCTCACGCTGATGCCTGGCAGGTGGCCACAGCCTAAGGGCTGTCATGGGTGCAACTTCAGACCAGCTTCACCTTGTCACCAAACCAGTGAGTCTCTGCTGGACACGGGGAGCTGCTTCCTTTCTGCTTTGGCTTTGAGGGAATGCCAAGATCATTTATGCGCCAAGCTGTCAGAAAATGTTATGTCCATGCTCAGCGTATGCCTTCCAGAATTTAAATCTTTATATAACTAAGCCTTTGTCTTGCAGGGCTGCAAATTCTTTTTGGAAAGCAGAGGAATTAATTTAAAATAAATACAAATAAAAACTTATACCTCCAGCCCATCCCTGCACTTACAAGTCAGGAAAACCCATCAGATGCTAAAAGGATTTATTGTAGACATTTTGTTACAGAATGTGTTACACATTAGGATAGAGGTGCACTTGATACATTAATACAGGCGGCTGTTAAATCATTTAATATTTCTCAAAAAGAAAACTTAGGCTCAAGCACCTGAGGCCCAGCTGTCTTGTCCTCCTCCGGGTCTTTCAGCCCTATCACCTACAGCACTGGCTTGGCCACCTCTCCCAGCAGGCGAGGCAGACCTGGGCCTGAGCTGCTCAGCTAGCTTGGCCTCAGACCGGGCCCTGTGGCTTGTAATGGCTGCTCTGCACGCGCACGCAGCTCTCAAGATGCTGAATGTCAAGGCAGCCCTTATTCTGCCACTCCACTGCCTTCTCCTCCATATCCACGCGGCCCGAGGAGCAGCGAAGCACGCTACGCTGTGGCTGTGGTGTAAGTATGTCGGCTCTACTTCCAGGTTTCAAATACTGAGCAGGGTACGAGCTGGTCTGTGACAGACTGGGTCAGGAGGCCAGGACAGTGTCCCGCGATGGTCCAGACCCCTGCAGCCACTGCTGCCCTCCCCTCCCACAGAAGCGGCAGTGGCTCTGATCAGGGCATCTGAGCACAGCAGCCGTCTCTGGCCTGCACAGTTCTGTGACTTTAAGGCACTCACAGGTGTTTCTGGGAAACTGACAGAAGGCTGCTGACAGGACAGATGTCCCCACGAGGCCCTCCAAGTCACTCCACGTGCGGGCCGGCAAGCTGCTTCATGCACACACGAGAGCTTGCTACTCCTACTGCACTCCACTCTGGTTCTGGCTAGTCCAGTCTTTTCTGGGTCTCCACTGGGCCGTCCATGCCTTGCGCTGGCTCCCAATGGGCAGCACTGTGCGTCTGCTCCACAGATGAAGACTCACACTGTGCGCAGCCTCCGGGGTGTCTGCTCAACGGCGCTGCTTCCCATGTGGGCTCAGCACTGGGACTGGCAGGAGCAGGGAGCCCCTGGCTGAGTGCCAAACCCCACCTGCTGCAGGGCAACTCCAGCCAGCCGAGGGGAGTGGCCTTGTGCCTCATGACTTGTTTTCTGTCCCCTGGGGTGTCAGGGGCCTGAGGCGCCCCCTTGAACTCACCAGAGGAGCGCAGGACCTGGTGGCCCACAGCCTGGCTGCTCCAAACCCCTCCACAACCAGGACACAAGACTTCTGCCCTACAAGTTTCATCTGGAATGGATTCTGGTACTACACTCTGCCAGGCAGAGGCTGCGGTGTCCCAAGGCACACCGATGTCCCACCTTGCTCTGGGATAGCCGAGTCACCACAGCGCACAAACTCCAGACAGCTCCGAGTTCTGCCTTCCCGGGGCAGCTTCCAGGGTTCACTGGTCCTCGTTCAGTATTCCCATGTGTTTGTTCGTGAGGAAGTCCAGGAAGGGAATGCTGCAAATGGCCTGGTGAACGTTACTCACTGTGATTTCTTTGGGAATCCTGGTCCAAAAAACCCCAAAAGGTCTTATCAGTGTAATTCTCACAAATATATCTGACAATAATTAGTTTATCAAATTTGTACTGACTTGCACAGAGAACACCTCCACGGGCAACCATGGGCACGCCCCCACCCGTACCTGCCGCGGGCCGCCGCCTGGAACCCCACAGCCAGCGCCTGCCTCAGGACGTCGCTCACCAGCTGCTCTGTGGCCTGCAATGCAGACAGCGGACAGCATTACGCTCAGTGGCTACCTTCCTGAAGGCACCAACGGATGCGCCTGCCCCCTCCCTCCCACGCACCAAAGAATCCAAGTGTTCTCTGGGAAAAATCACAGACCTCAGTAACAGACTCAAATGTCCGAAGTCACACTGCTGAGAAACGGTGTTTGTTTGGGGCACTTCATTAATCAGACACCATTCTTAAGGAAAAGAAAAGGTGGCAGCAGCTGCTTAGGTGCCCACTGCTCACCAGGATGCAAGGGACAGGAGCTGCCGAGCTACAATAGGCTGGGAGCAGAAGCTGTGGCCTTGCCCAGAGGGGACAGCAGTGACCACTCTCTGCTACAACACACAGCACGTCCCAGGCTTTGTCTGCACCTCCTGAACATCGAGAGCATCCCTCACACCCAGGATGCTTCCTGAAAAGCACCCATCTGAGGCTAGACATGGTGGTATGCGGCTCCAATCTCAGCTCCTCAGATGGCTGAGGCAGAAGGGTCACAGGTCTGAGCCAGCCTCGGACACTTAGTAAGATCTTGTCTCAAAAAGGGCCAGGGAGAGAGCCCAGTGGCATAAGCACCTGCCTGGCAAGCACAAGGTCCTGAGTTTGATCCCTGGTAACACCACCACCACCACCATAAAAATACAAAATAAAACAGAAGGCCGAAGAAAACTCAGTGTAGAGTCTAGCTTGTGAGAGGCCCTGGGCTCCAAGTCTAGCACCACGACAAAGTACCTTAGTGATAGTAGTAAAAACCTAAAAATATTTCCACACTAGAGGAAATAAGACTTAGTTCACTTAAACATCAGAAGAAACAAAAGAAAAATCTAAAGAGAAATCCTGAGTAAGATGAGAAACATAAAACCTGCCACCTCTGCTCCTTTCCTGACCTTGTCCTTCACGTAAAACAGCTGGGGTGCAGCTGTGGTCAGGCGCTGCCTAGCCTGAGCGAGGCCCTGGGTCTGACCCGCAGCTCCCGAAAGCAAAGCAACTTCGTTCCCAACCCTCAGGGCCAAGAACCGGCCCCCAACGCCGCGACTCTGCTGGCTGGCGGCAGACACCCACCTTGAGGATCATGTCCTCCACCACCGACGCGTACACGTTCCGGTGCAGCGCCACAGGCTGCAGTGTGATCCCG